ACAGAGCGCCAAGGTCAGGGACGTGGCTGCAGGAACTCATCAAATGACCCGTCAATAGAGCAGTAAAGGTAGTGGCAGCAAATTAGCACAATGATAACCATCATCATCATCACCACAATTATCATCATCATCACTATCATCAGCATCATCACTATCATCACCATCTCCATTATTATCATCTCCATCATCACCACCATCATCATCTATCATCACCATCATCACCACCATTTCCACCATTACCATCATCATCATCACCATCATCACCACCATTTCCACCATTACCATCATTATCATCACCATCATCATCACCATTTCCACCGTTACCATCATTATCATCACCATCATCATCAACACCATCATCACCATTTCCATCATTACTGTCATCACCATCATCATCATTACCATTTCCACCATTACCATCATTATCATCATCATCATCACCATCATCACCACCATTTCCACCATTACCATCATTATCATCACCATCAACACCACCATTACCATCATTATCATCACCACCATTTCCACCATTACCATCATTTTCATCACCATCATCACCATCATCATCATCATCACCATCATCACCACCATTTCCACCATTGCCATCATTTTCATCACCATCATCATCACCATCATCATCACCATTTCCACCGTTACCATCACTATCATCACCATCATCATCAACACCATCATCACCATTTCCACCATTACCATCATTATCATCACCATCATCAACACCATTTCCACCATTACCATCATTATCATCACCATCATCATCATCACCATCATCACCACCATTTCCACCATTACCATCATTATCATCACCATCATCAACACCATTTCCACCATTACCATCATCATCACCATCATTATCATCACCACCATTTCCACCCTTACCATCATTTTCATCACCATCATCATCACCATCATCATCACCATTTCCACCGTTACCATCATTATCATCACCATCATCATCAACACCATCATCACCATTTCCATCATTACTGTCATCACCATCATCATCATCACCATCATCACCATTTCCACCATTACCATCATCATCATCACCATCATCACCACCATTTCCACCATTACCATCATTATCATCACCATCATCATCATTACCATTTCCACCATTACCATCATTATCATCACCATCATCAACACCATTACCATCAGCTATCATCACCATCAACACCATCATTACCATCATCATCATCACCACCATTTCCACCATTACCATCACTGTCATCACCATCATCATCATCACCATCATCACCACTCATTTCCACATACTACCACATCACTACCATCATCAACACCATTTCCACCATTACCATCATCATCACCACCATTTCCACCATTACCATCATTATCATCACCATCAACACCACCATTACCATCATTATCATCACCACCATTTCCACCATTACCATCATTTTCATCACCATCATCATCATCACCATTTCCACCATTACCATCATTATCATCACCATCATCTCCATCACTATCATCCTTATCATCACCATCATCATCACCATCACCATTCTTATATTAACAGCAGCAGGTACATACTGAGAACTGTTATGTGGCAGGCACTGAGTACTTGACATGCTCTGTCTCACTGAATCTTTACAACAACATTATGAGATGGTTAACTCTATCATCCCCGCTGGCACAGAGAGGACAAGCACGTTGCCCAAATTTACACAGCAATCATGAGCTGAAGCCAGGAATCTGAAGACAGGTAGTGGGACTCTTAACCATTAACCTGAAACACAAAAAGATTTCCCAATTACTTCATAGGTAGGGTGAATCCTGACAGGGAACCCTTTAGTCATTCCAGCAGCTATCCCAAGTAATGTTACTTCCTGAGAAATTTCAGAGTGCCCCAAGTCACCAGCCACGTTTCCTCTCTGCGCCCAGCAATACCTGTGCTACAGACAGACAGAAAAATATGATGTGTCCCTTCTAAATATTTCTCTGCAGAAACAAAAATAAAATTTATAAATCCTCAAATGTGATACCAAAGATCTCTTTTTGGACAGGTGAAATTCACTTAATGGATGTTTCATCCACCTCCTAAAATTCCAATTCCAAATTCTGGGGTGCCCCACAGTGAGTGGCAAAGCTTGCTGTGTCTGAGATGATAAGACTCCCAAGTCCCTGGTAGCCTGTTCTGCCTCTGACACTGGAAACCCTGTCCTCCTCAGGCCACTCTTGCTGGGTATAAAAACAACTGATGAGTATGGAGAATTGTTTGGTGCCAGGTGCCTTATTTTATGCTCCATGTTCATCCATGAAACTCTCACAGCAACCGTTTAGGAAAAATATTTCTAAGCCTCAGTTTTTCAGGTGAAGAAAAGGAAATCAGGAGAGAAGAGACCTTTTCCAGGGTCACGTGGTGACATGCGACAGAGCCCAGATTCTCGCCCAGATCTTCAGCCTTGAGGCAGCTGCTAACTAACCGTAGCAATGCCTGGCCTCCCAGATTGCAGCTCTGGAATCCCCAAGACCACTTCTGCTGCCTTAGATGTCTGAGAAGTGTGAGTCGTGTTCACGTTCCACCAAATGCTGGGGGCCCAGATCTACATCTGATGACTGCCAAGCAAGGGAGTTCCAGGGAGTTCAGCCCTCTGTCCCATCACTCCTTCCATCTAGGGAAGCTTTAACAGTTGTTTTCCTCCCCCCTCCCCCATCCTCCTCTACTTGGGAACTCCAGATAAGGATAGTATGCAGCCTGTTCTCAGTGGCCTAAGCAAAGATCTCACCTCCTACATCACCAACCAGTACTTCCCAGTATCTAACCTAAATTGTTCTTGCTCTGGTCTAATTCATTTACATGGTACCCGCTGGTCTATGAGGAATCCCGTTAGGGGAACCATCCCCGCATTTCCTCTCTTCCCTTTGCCTTGGCCAGGAAGCTCAGGACGGTGGCCCAGCCCTGATGAGCGCTGCTGTAAACCACCTGTTCCCTTCCCTGTGGCCCAGCGTCGCGTTCCAGAATTAAGATTTCTCTGCATTAGAAACAAACACACATATTTTCCTCTTTTTAGATTTGTTTTGCTAAACAAATTAATCTAGCACCAGATTATATTATGAAGAACCATAAATCGCTTCCAAGATAAGCATCTGTCGAGATGGATTAGCAACATCCAATGCACTGTGAATTAATTTGCTAAGCCTACAACGCTGTCCCGTGTGTTTAACTTTAGTAATAACAAATGTAATTTGGAATAAATGGGAACTTGTTTCCTCATCCATGTCTATACAGTAAGTGATGTATACAGAGAAGGTGACAGTAAGGGAGAGGAGCACGAAATTCTATTATGAGGATGGCTGCTGAGTTTACTGAGGTGAAAATGAACACTCTGTAAACTGCTAGCAGGCGCCTGACAGTGCAGGATGAAATGCAGACCCTGCGTGTCCGTGGGTTCCCAAAAGAGGCTGCCTGGGAGGTAGCCGACGCAGGACCTCCAGAGTCTCTTCCTCCGGAGCCTCTTGCTCCAGAGCCTCTCCAGGCACGGCCCTCAGCATCCGCAGGGAGCCCAGGCTGTGCTTCCATAGAAACACTGCTCTCTAGGGAACAGGAGCTCAGAATAAAAACTGCAGGTTCTCTTGTCCAGGTGAAGGAAGAAAGTAGGTCAGCGGCTGAAGGACAAAAGCCACCCACCCCACGAAAACCTGTCCAACGACTGCCTGGTGCCTGCCTGCCCAAGATGAGGAGGAACCAGGGCCAGGATGCAGTCTAGCGAGGATGCAGAGGGCCTGGATGCCGTGCCGGCCGCCTGCAGATGAGCTCTGAAGAGCAGTTGTCTTCCCTCCCCTTGATTCTGCAGAGGCCTGGATGGAGCCTACCGTGCCCACAAGCTGGAGGTTGTGGAAAGCAAGCTGTGAGGAGGCCACAGGGCGCCCCCACCCATTTTGCACTGATGCCCTGAAATCTGCATCCAATTTTAAAGTTAGCAAATGTTGCTGCTTGTCTAGAATGCGCACACACAGATCTAGGTTGTGAACTTCTAAGCCAACCTGGCACATCGGGCCGTGCCTGTTAACAGAGGCAGAGAACACTGGAGGGAGGTGAGGGTGTGCCCGGGGCTCTGCGCTCTCCCCCACAGGCCTGCCGTGAAGCCTGGTGACATCAGTGCTGGCTACCAGTTCAGGGACAAGCCCTGGCTTGGGAGATTTCCAAGGGCTACTCCTTTCAAAGCAAATGGAGGACAACGTATAGGAGGAAAATAAAAAACAACAAAACTGCGCGGGAGGAGATATTCCAAAGCCAATGAACTGTGTGTGTCCACAGGCAGCTAGGATAACAGCAGCAGAAGAACCAAAGCCCTTTGTTCTGATCTCCGTCCTCCAAACACCCTCCTGACACATCCCCAGGGAGCCGAACGCTGCCACCTGAACCACTGTCTGTGAAGCTTCTGTTAACACTGCTGGGAAGTTATTCCTTTTAGCTGGCCTCGGCCTTTCTTGCTATTTAAGGCCATTCCTAATCCTTGACCAAAGTCAAGTTGGCAGGCACCTTGCCCCCACCCATGGGTCCCACACCCTTGAAGACTTTTGAAGACTCCGGGGCAGGGGGATCCTTAACTGTATCACGAGACGAGCAAGCATCTTACTCAAGGGCCGGCCCCAGAGACAAAATTCTACGATTCTGGAAGACGTGGCTGTGTGTGGTGGATTCCACCAGTCTGTAACAGGGGTGCAGCACCTGGCAGATTCAGCTGATAACTAATGGCGGCACAAGGGGTGCAGCACACACTTCTAGATACATGCTAAAAAGGGAAACTCTCCCTTCTCACGCCCCCTTCCTCTAAGGCACAGCCTGTATTTGCCAGTCTACACGCATGTGCAAGCTCATGGACACATCACGCCTGCATCTCTTGGAGCCTCCACACGTAGCTTCACCCCAGGGACATCTAAGCATCTCTCCCGAGTCACGCCCCCAGCCCTCAACCCCAAGCAAACCCAAACCAGAAGAGAGATGGCCGTACCTGAGGCCTCCCCCAGAATCCTTGGGGGCTGGGTGACTTCCCCATTGTTGCTGGGACTGGTGGAAGGCTCTGTTGTGCTAACCCCACCTGGGATCCTTCTCCGGGGATCCAGGGACTCGGTGAACCCCTTAGTCTGCAGCATCATGGGGGTGGCCGTGGTGGTGGTGGTGGCGGCCACAGTTGTCTTCCGTGTTTGTAGGATGGAGACCGTGGTGGGGCCGTAAACGCCCGGAAATGTGTTGGACTCCAGGGCCTCCTCGTCCCCTGTGGGCCCCCAGGCGATGAACTCAGTCTCTGTGGTGGGCCGGCTGCCTCTGGAGTCGAAGCTGCTGAGACCGTCCCCCTGCAGGTGCCTCTTGCCCCTTCTCAGGAGGGCCTGCTGCTCCGGGGCCCCACCGGCCACCGCGGAGGACGAGGACGAGGATGAGGAGGCGAGAGAAGGGCTGGATTTGGCAGCAGCTGGGGGCTTGGCCAGTCCTGCCTTGGGCACGAGGGCGGCCGCCTGGTCCCGGGGCCTGTGAGCCCGTCTGGCTCGGGGCATCTGCATTTGCCCGTGGATCCGCTCCACGCGGGGCGGCCGGGGACTCCACACGGGGGCCGGGACCCGCGCTGGCTGTCCACTCCTAAAACTCCACAGCCGGGGCGGCCGGGGCGGTGACCGAGGCAGGAGCCAGAACTCGGGCCCCGGGCCCAGGGCCTCGCAGGCGGGCAGGTCCACGGCGAGCTGAAACATGGCTATCAGTATCCAGGCATGGCTTCCGAGGGGGCGGCCCGGCCAGCGGATGGACATGGAGCTGTGCGGAGGGGAGGAGAGAAGAGCGGTCAGTGGAAGCCTAGCGGGGGGCACTGGGCCCCGGGGCCCTCTCTCTCCACCCCCTACGGTGACAAGGACGCTCTCTTCTTCTAGAAAGAGCTCCTCCTAACTTCAAAAGGGAAGCCGAACCCCTTCCTCCCTTCACTTCAAAGGCTGACTCACGTGCGGTTTATTCATCAGATCTGAAAAGAACAGTGCGGGCTGCAAGGGTGCGGGGAGCTGCTTCCCAGCACCGCGGGGCTCAGGCGCCTGCCAGGCACACAGCTGGCTGGGGGCCGAATCGTCCATTTCACCGGAGGGAAAACCGAGCCTCAGAAACCCTCAGCCCTCAGGTCAGTCTTGACAAGATGACCTGAAAAGACCTGAGTCCCTCCTTCCTTTGGCCCATCACAAGACGAGAGGACGTCGTAAGTGAGAGGATGGCAGAACAGGACACCGGCCTCCACCTGGGACCCCAGGGCCAGGCGCTTTCCTCTACACAGCCCAGGCCACCCCCTGCCCACTGGGGAAGCGCCTCTCCAGGTCTAAGAGGAGCTGAGGTTTCAAGCTCCCAGTGTGAGCGCAGGCGCTTCCTAGCACTTTGCAAACACCACCCGCTCCCCCTGCCCCTCACCCGGAACCCGGCATGCATATCATAAACAGGCATTGCTTTAAATGCTGTACATGGGAAGGCGTTTACTTCTGGCCTCCTCTGGATCTACTCAGGGAAATGAGATCTGCTCTGGATAAACTGAAAGTTTATTGACGCGAAGTGTTTGTTCTGTTGACATTTCTGCTCCCCCTGTTTATCTGCAGTGCCGGTGCCCTTTGAAACCCTGTTATCCACCTCCTCAGCTCCCCGGAGGGCTGCAGAAAGGGCAAACCCTGTGCAGCCTTGAGGAGGGAGGGGCTGCCTCGACACGCAGCGGGGCTGCAGGGGAGCAGTCAGGGCCGCGGAGCCGCCCCTCCCCAGTTCACATGGAGCGGCTTTGTCACCAGGTCTGGGGTCGCCTCTGGACCAGTGGACTCTCCCGTGTCACGTGAAAACCAGGGCGCGGCAGAGAGCCACGTGGAAGGACTCAGAGGAGACAGGCCCACGCTCCCTCTTCCGCCAGCACAGATAATTGAGGACTGATTATAGGTGTCATTCAAAGTCATTTCTTGTCACCAGCCTCACATCTGAAAGTTAAAATGAATCCAAAAACCGTAATGACTGCAGCGGGTGGGGTGCGGGTGGGGGGTCTGAGGGTGTTCAGGTGCCAAGCACCAGCCTGACGCCGCCCAAAGCCGGGCCTGGAAAGCAAGTTGGGGAAGTTTTTCTTTATAAGGCGGTGAGTGACTTCACAAAGGAAGGAAGCTGTGTGTCATTGTAATGTGTGCACGGAAGTGTGTGTGTACGTGTGCCTGACTGGGTGTGTGTGCGTGTGGGTCAAGCTGTGTAAGTGTGCCAGTGTGAGAGTGAACCAGCATACGAGAGTGTAAAGACGCATGTGGGGGTGTGTCCATGAGTGTGAGAGACTGTACGTGAGTGAGGGTCAGGGCGTCTGTATTTGGCGCGTGTGATTGTGAGAGTACACTGTTGTGTGACTGTGTCCATGTGTATCAGCACAGAAGTGTGTGAGTGCATCTATGCTCATACGTGTGTCAGTGTGTATGAGTGTATCTGTGTGTCCCTGAGTGTGCGAGTCTGTGTCTGAGAGTGTGTATTTGTGTGAGTGTGTGTGCAACTGTATCTATGTGTCCCTGTGTGAGTATGCGAGTGTGTCTGTGAGTGTCCGTGCGAGAGACTCTGTGTGAGTGTGTCTGTGTGGGAGGGTGCAGCTGTAGCTGTGTGTGATCCTGTCCCTGTGGGCACGCCCTCTGTTCAGTACTGAAACCCTTGTGTCCAGGGCTGACTCTCCCTGATATCTGGGGAACAGATGGCCCCCCGGTCGTCAGGATGGTGCTCATTACCAAAAAGGACTAATCCCCAAACAATAAGGCTTCAGTTTTTTAATCGAAATAGAAGTGCTTTGCTGCAGAAATGAAGACCTCCTCATTATGCTCATCTTCAGCACCGTGTTTCTGCTGGTGTGCAATTTCTCTGCACTAGCAGCCAAGCTCGGGCCAGGGACCAGGACCACTGTCACCACAAGGAAGAATTTAGGTTAGGGTAAAATTCCCCTGTGTACACACTAAGCTAGCGCCTCTGTGGCTGCAGGTGACCTAGCAAGGATGGGAGCTGGTTTAGAATCTCTAGTTCTCCCGTGACCTGCCGAGCTGGGTGGGAGTCTAGGCCCCAGGAAGATGAGATGCTGCTCTGAGCAGGTGCAGGGCCTCACCAGGCCCTACCAAGTCCCTTCAGGATCCACTAGGCCTCACCAGACCCCACCAGGCCTCACCAGACCCCACCACACTCCACCAAGCTCCACCAGGTCTTACCAGACTGCACCAGACTCCAACAGGCCCCATCATACTCCACCAGGCCCCACTAGGGCTCACTAGACCCCACCAGGCCTCACCAGGCCCCACTCCACTCCACTCCACCAGGCCCCACCGGCCCCCACCAGACAGGCTGAATCAAAAGCCATGACAAGCAAACCTGCCTGTCATCAGTACTTGGAGAAATATTGCCCCAGGAAATTAAAACCATAGCACCTAAGCCTGTGCCTGCCTCCCTGGCATAGCTTCACACACAGGATATTTCTGTGATTTTTCACCAATCATGGCTGTAATTGGTTACTATAGAAACCCCCTCATTTCCAAGACACCCAGCTGTTATGCAGAAAAACCAACCAATTGCAACAGTGGCAGGGAGAGGTCGATTTATTTTTCCTCTTCAAGTCTGGTTTCCTCCTTTTTAAAGTGATCGATTTGTTCAAAGAGGAGAAAAAAGAGGGCAGGTCCAGGACAGAGGCCCCAGCCCACTCCCAGCAGCCAAGAAATGTGGCGGGCAGAGGGAGAGCCCCTCCCACAGGAAGATGTTTAGGGGCCACCGCTCCTTTCTGTGCAAGGCCAAGGGTCCCAGGCTCTGTGTTGCCATCAAGCCGGCTGAGCTTCGTGTGCTGCCTGGACCTGGTCCTGAGACTCTCGGGGACCCCTCGGTGAGAGGCTGCATCACTGCAGGAGGAGGATTTGGCTCTATCTCCAAGGAACACTGAGCAGCACAAACAATCTCTGTCCTCATGCCTTGGGGGGCTCTGAGATGAGGCAGGGTCTGGGAACGCTCTTCTCACTGATCCTGCTCAGCCTGGGGCTGGACCCTGAGCAGCTCTCATTTCATGATGAACAGGTTCTGAGAGGGCCTCACCCCATAGGGCATCCATGGCACTGTCAGACATGCACCAAGATGGCAGGCGACCCCACACCTCCTTGGGAGGCAGGCCCTGCGGCATGGCTGCCAACCACAGTGCCAACCATCAGGAGGTGAGGTTGTGGGGCAGGCAGAGGTGGCACCGGCTCCCCCAAAACTCAAGCATCCACAGGCCCCTTAAGAACATACCACCTGGCCAGGCACCATGGCTCACGCCTGTAATCCCAGCACTTTGGGAGGCTGAGATGGGAGGATCACGAGGTCAAGGGATCAAGACCATCCTTCACAACATGGTGAAATCCCATCTCTACTAAAAATACAAAAATTAGCTGGGTGTGGTAGCACATGCCTGTAGTCCCAGCTGCTGGGGAGGCAGAGGCAGGAGAATCACTTGAACCCAGGAGGCAGAGGTTGCAGTGAGCCAAGATCATGCCACTGCACTCCAGGCTGGAGATGGAGCAAGACTGCACCTTGAAAACAAAAACACAACAAAAAAACATACCACCCGTGTCACACCCACAGAGAGAGCTACAAGCAGAAAGACTGAGAACATGAAGTGCTGGCGAAGACACGAGGAGACAAGAGAACTAGTACGCTGTTGGTGGGAATGAAAACCAGAATGCCTCTGAACAAAACAGTTTGGCAATTCCTTGGAACCCTAAAGACAGAGTTCCAGTGACCCTGCTGCCCCTCTCTCAGGCACAGACATCTGTCCACATGAAAACTTGCACAGGGAGGCCCAGGACGACACTCACAACTCACAACAGCCAAAGCTGACTCAGCCCACATGCCCGTCAGCTGAGGGATGGATAAAGGGGATCTGGCGTTACGTTACAATGGAGTATCGTTCAGCCTTTAAAAGTATGGAAGGATTACTTGATCTATGCTACGATGTGGATGCACCTTGAAAACCCTGAGAAAGGAAAGAAGCAAGGCACTCAAAGCTACACGGTGCAGGGTTCCATTTATAGGAAATGCACAGAGTGACCAAATCCATACAGACAGAAAGATGAGCAACTGCCCAAGGCTTGGGGAAGGGTTATGGGGTAGGGGGTTTCTTTTTGGGGTGACAAAATGTTCTGGAATTGTGTGTGGGGGTAGCTGTACAACTCTATGCCTATATGAAACCCACTAAACTGTACACTTGTAATAGGTGAGTTTGGTGCCATGTAATTATATCCCAACACAAATCAAAAGGAACATGCTAGAGAATGGGAGGCGTGCAAGGGTTGGGGGGGAAATGTGGAGTGTGTGGCACGGCATCCTGATCCTGGCCCTGGCGGATGGGTGGAAGGCAGAGCGGCCCCTGGAGCTGCAGGCACGTGGGCAGGAGGAAGCCATGCAGACTGAGTTCATCCACCCAGTCCTCGCTGGGACACCCTGAACATGAGACAGGGTCCCTGCCTGAGCACCTGAGGACCACATCCACACCCTTTGAGAGCAGGCGGGGGCACCTCCCTCTCAGCAGCCTCCAGCCTATGATTTTCAAAGAAAGAACAAACTCCTTAGCCACCCCCACCCAGCTGCTTCCAAATGGGGAACTACTGCTTCTAGTTTGTGGCTTTCGTGCTTCTCTTCCTTTTAAATTTTTATTGAAATCGTTTTTCCCCAAGAACAGTTTAATAAGACTTGGTGAATTGAGATTCAATTCAGTACCTTCTGTATATTTTCTTCACAGAAGAAAATCACTGTCAATTAAGGGGACAAAG